AGCTGTACAGAGAGGACCCCTGAATGCCTGGGCGGGGGGGAGGGGGGGATTCCCTGTGAGTCCCGGGACAAGGGCTGAGCTGCTCATATTCGGTGCAAGAATGCATGAAGCTTAATGGAAGCTGAGATGATGGATTCTAAAGGTTGGACATGCTGGGACCTGTGGGCAGGCCAGCCCAGCTGGAGGAGTGGAGAGATCTTGCCTCATGAACACTCCAGGCATCTGGTTCTAGCACCAGAGGGGATGATCTTAGAAGTAAAGACCTTGCCTGAGAGTAAGGATATGAAAAACACCCTTCAAAAATGAGGGTGAAATAAAGATGCAGTTTGGTCAAAGAAACCTCAGAGCATTGATTGCCAGATCTGTACTATAAGAAATAATATTTTAATCCTAGATAGAAATTTGGGTCTACAAGAAAAAAGGAAAAAGTACTAGGAATGGTAATATCCTTAAAAGACAAACAGAATGTTTAAGTCAGGAGTGGGCAGGTAAAAGGGATTGTAATTTTATAAAACGGGTTTGTGAAGTGATGTTATAGCAGTGTAAGGTGGAGGAATTTTCTAGTCTTATAAATTAAGGGTTCATATTGTTAGCCCTAAAGCAGCAGTTCTCAAATTTTTGTTCTCTTTATACACATAAAACTATTTATGTGGATTTATCTGTTAATATTTATCATGTTAGAAATTAAAACTGAGAAAAAAGTATAAATATTTATTTTAAATTACAGTGACTCTTAAAACTGTTGTTTAAATATGTTTTTATTGATTTTAGAAAGGGAGAGGCAGAGAAAGAACATCTATCCCTGCTTCCTGCACGCCCCCTAATTGAGGATCCAGCCTGCAACCAGGGCATGTGCCCTGACCAGGAATCAAACCTTTTCTTGCTTGGGACAACGCTCAACCAACTGAGCCACACCAGCCAGTGAGTGACTCCTTTTTACGTTAACATATAACACATATTCATAAAAATACCTACTTTCCAAAAAGTTTAGTGAAGAGAGGAGCATTGTTTTCTAATTTTATAAATCTCTTTAATATTTGAGAAGACAGCTTAATTCTCATACCAGCTTCTGCATTCAACCTGTTGCATATGTTGTTTTGGTCAAAGTATATGAAAAATCTGGCATTATACAGTTATGTAGTTGGAAAAGGAGGAATCTTTAATAGCCTTTTCAGATAATAACATTCTTTGATATCATACAAAAAATTGACAAGTGGGTGAAAGTTTCTAGTTTCTTCTCAAAAAAATTATCTCCAAAATTATGACATTGTTTTGCTGCAGTACCAAAAACTACCCAAAGCTCTGGCACCATTTTTTAAAAATATTTTTTATTGATTTTTTTTACAGAGAGGAAGGGAGAGGGACAGAGAGTTAGAAACATCGATGAGAGCGAAACATCGATCAGCTGCCTCCTGCACACCCCCCACTGGGGACATGCCCGCAACCAAGGTACATGCCCTTGACCGGAATAGAACCTGGGACCCTTCAGTCCGCAGGCCAATGCTCTATCCACAGAGCCAAACCAGTCAGGGCAGCTCTGGCACCATTTTATTAAACAATTTATTTATTACAGTTAACTACAGTTAGCATAGTAGTTAGACATTTATATTATTTAATACTGAGATTGAAAACCTGATAAGTCCAGTGCCCACTTAATGCCATATATTATTGCAATATTATTAACTATACTAGAGGCCCGTTGCATGAAAAGATTCGTGCAATAGGCCTTCCCTTCCCCTGGCTGCCGGCACCGGTTTTCCTCCGGCAACCGGGACCCAGGCCTTCGCTCCGGCCAGAGCCTTTAGTCTTCACTGCTCTGGCCGGGACCTTCAGTCTTCGCTCTGCCGCTTCATGCCTACATATGCAAATTAATCGCCATCTTTGTTGGGTTAATTTGCATACTCTCCTGATTGGCTAGTGAGCATAGCAGAGGGATGGTCAATTTACATGTTTGTCTATTATTAGATAAGATTCCCTATGCTGTACTTTACATTCTTATAACTTCTTTATAACTGTCCATCTGTACTGTTATTCCCTTCACCTTTTTCACTCAGTCCCCCAACCTCCCTCCCATCTGGCAAGCATTAGTTTCTTTTCTATACCTGTGTGCTTGTTTGGTCTTTTAGGTTCCACATATTAGTGAAATCATATGATATTTATCTTTTTCTGACTGGTTTATTTCACAGCATAATACCCCCAGGCCCATCCATGTTGTCACAAATGGTAAGATTTCATTCTTTTCATTCCATTGTATATATGTACCATATTTTCTTTTAACATGTTTTTATTGATATCAGAGAGAAGAAGGGAGCCCGCAACCCGGGCATGTGCCCTGACCGGGAATTGAACCAGCAACCTCGTTCCTGCCTGGTGCATGGAATGGTGCTCAACCAACTGAGCCACACTGGCTAGGCAAGTACCACATCTTCTTTATCCAATTGTCTATTGATGACCACTTATGCTTCCATATCTTGGCTATTGTAAATAAGGCTGCATATATCTTTTTGAATTAATGTTTTGGATTTCTTTGAATAGAAATACTCAGGAGCGGGATTGCAGGGTCATATGATAATTCTATTTTTAATTTTTTTTAGGAACCTCCATACTGTTTACCAATTTGCAATCCCACCAACAGTTCACGAGAGTTCCCTTTTCTTTCTCCACATCCTCCACAACACTTACTTGTTCCTTTATTGACGATAACCATTCTGACAGGTGTGACATCTCATTGTGGATTTAATTTGCATTTGTATTAGCCAACTGTTGTCCTCTTTGGAGAAGTGTCTATTCAGGTCCTCTGCCCATTTTTTAATTGGATTTTTGGGGGTTGGTGTTGAATTGTATGAGTTCTTTATAAATTTTGGATATTAACTTCTTATCAGGTGTATCATTGGTGAGTATGTTCTCCAGTTAAGTAGGTTGTATTTTTGTTTTACAGTTTCCTTTGCTGAGAGTGATGTCAGAGTTTTATGGTTTCAGGTCTTACTAGTTTTTAATTGGTCTATTTCATTCTTATAACCAGTGTTTTGAACTGTGCGTCTAATAGATTGTCTGTCTCCATTTTGTTTCTTTTTCTGGAGTTTTTGTCCTGGCCTTTCATTTTGGAACATGTTCCTTTGTCTCCTTTTGCGTGACTCCCTATTTATTTCTGTTTTAGGTAGACCTGCTATACCTCCAGGGCTTGGCAGAGTGGCCTTATGTGGTAGGTGTCTTGTGGGGCCCAGTGGCACAGTCTTTCTAATCACCCAAACTGTGCCCATCCCTCGCCCCCTATGTCGGTTGTGTATACCCTCCTGTTATGGTTGAGCCGTGATTGCTGTTGACACATCAGTAGGTGGGATTGACCCTCAGGCTGACCGGCTATGAGGGCTGGCCATGACCACCTCAGATGAGCTGAAGTTGCTTTAGTGGGGTTGTAGTGCCAGCCAAGTCTGCCCTCTGGATATGTGGTTTGTGGAGCTGGTTGGGGAGGGGGTGCTCTGGTCTGGTCTGAAGCCTCTTTAGAGGGGCTACAGTGCAGATCAAGGTCAGCCATCACTTGTGCCCATCTTAAGGTTGTCTGGTAGGTGCTACAGTGATCTGCGGTTGGTAGCTGCTTGTGCTGCGCTTGGTGCCTATTCAGTGAACCAAGGCTGGCTGCCACTAGTATCAGGCTTGGGACCGTGTGGTGGGCACCACAATGTGAGCTGAGGCCACCTGCCATTTGTGCCCGCTTTGTGGCCACTTAATTGAGGCTACATGCCCAGCCAAGACTGGCCACTGCTCATGCTGGGTGTGGGGCTACTTGATGGGACTTAAAATGTAAGTTGAAACCAGTCACCACTTATGTCAGGCTTGGAGTATCTTGGCAAGAGGTACATGGCACACCAAGGCCAGATGGTGCTGGCATTAGTGTTAGCCAGGCTAACGGAGAGCTCAGATTTGGCACCTGGGCTGGCTAGGTGGGTGTGGTTCAACAAAAAAACAATAGTGCCTACCACCACTTTCATCTCTTGCCCTGAAGCTAGTCAATTTAGTCCCCTATGTCCCTGACACGATGCTACCGCCTCTGCACAGGAGCCTAGAGCAAGTGAGTCTGTATGTGGGCCCTTTAAGACCTGCAGCGCCTGGGTCTCCAGTAGCCCTCCATCTCACTCGGACATAAGCCCCCTGGTTTTCACAGCCAGTTGTTATGGGGACTCCCCTTCCCGTTATGAGAACCAAGGGCTGGGCAGAGCAGTGTGGGACTGGGACACGCTTGCTCCTCTGGGGGAGCCCTGCAGCCAAGATCTCTCTCCTCCCACCAGCCTCAACGTGGCTGCTTTTTTTTTTTTTTTTAATATATTTTATTAATTTTTTACAGAGAGGAAGGGAGAAGGATAGAGAGTTAGAAACATCAATCAGCTGCCTCCTGCACACCCCCTACTGGGGATGTGCCCGCAACCAAGGTACATGCCCTTGACTGGAATCAAACCTAGGACCCTTCAGTCCGCAGGCCGACGTTCTATCCACTGAGCCAAACGGTTTAGGGCATGGCTGCTTCTTTATATCCTTAGTTATGGGACTCCTGCTCAGCTAGTCTTTAGGTGGTTTTATAATTTAGGTTGCAATTTTGATATGGTGAGGACAGCGTTTACCTGACCCACTATCTTTGACCAAAGTCCTCTGGCACCATGGTTTTTACAAAGTTAACAGGGTCCTCCTGGAGTCAGGAGTCATATTCCCTTTCTTTCCCACCCAAAGCATCCAACCCTGCTTCTGCCTCCCAAGGCTGTTGGCTGCAGGCAGAGGCCAGACCTACAGGGACATTTCCTTTAGTTCAGGATTGGCGGAGGTGTTGGTTCCTTTCACGCCCCGGCCAGGCCCCGCCCAGCTGAATTGTAGGATGTTTTAGAGTGGAGTTCATTTTGAGTGTCTCCAGTAAGATTGTGATTTTCTCCTCCTTTCTTTTCCTACCTTTACCCATATAAGTTTTTTTCCTCAAACTTGGGATAGTAAAGGAGCTTAAATATTATGAGAACTCGGCTTGAAAGGTGAATTTTATTTTATCATTTATAAAATTACATAAGTCAAATGCAAAAACATATAATACATCTATAATTAAAGAACCCTTTTCCATGAAGGCAAAATTATTGAGAAATGTTTATTTTCCTCCTTGAAATGGCTTGTCCAGGTAAGATCTGGCTGCAGGTAGTTAATTCACGTCACTTTCTGCATTGCTTCCCTCCCTCCAGCCCACACCACTGCGCTGCTGGCCCTGGGAACAGAATGCGTGTAGGCCTTACAGATCCAGGGCCCAGTGGACAGACAGGCTCTTGTCTTCCACGTTGGCAACCATGTCTTCGATGGCATTCCAGTCGAGCTTGCTGAGGATGCTGCCAGTGCTCTCAGACACACTGTCCATGCCACCCTCTCCAGTAGGGGACGCTGGCTCTTCTTCAGTTGGTGACAAGTCCTACCAAATTGAGAGAGATAGTAAGTGGTAGTCCTAGCCTGAGGAAAATACACAGGACGTGAACCATGTCTTAGCTGCTCATCCACCAGGTGGAGAGGGAAGTGTGGTGGGAGACAGGGCTGTGGCTGCCCTGCATGTCTGGACTGGCGATGGGCTGACCAGGACAGAATGGGTGTTTATACCTCAGCAAATTATCTGTTCTTACATTCTGGTGATCTTTTAGTTAAAAAGAAAATACAAAGTCAAGGAAAATTCTAAAAGATAAACCACATTAGTTGCTTTGAATCACCACTTCAAACTGTCCTCACAATCCTTCTATATCTCTACATCCCACAGAAAAATATCCCCCTTCCCCCCCCAAAAAAAAAATCCACACACAACAAAAACCTGCCGTACAGAGAGGAAGCACTAGGCAACCTGAGCTCCGGCTGATGCTTACCTGTGGAAGGGAACTGTGACTTCCATGAAGAATCCTGCGGATGTCTGAGGGCACCAGCCAGGGACTCACCACAGTCTCCTCTCTCTCGTCCTCTGCACACACCTGCTCGGTGTGAGGGCCAAGCCCAGCACTCCCGTGCTGTTTTGAATGCTGTAGACAGGGAGCAGTAGAACCTAACAAGGGAAAAGAACAAAGCATACATTGGGACTAGTTCATTTATCGTGATGTTTATCATCAAATCCACGGTAGTCACATTTTACCTACTATTTGAACCACAGGGGTTGGTTATAGTTTGCTTTAGAGTTCTAACAATTCCTGTCCTGCAGAAGGAACTTGAATTCTGGCCACCTGTTTCGATTTTAAAAGTAACAGTAACCTCTAAGACGAGAGAGTAGGAGAAGGGGCCACAGAACAGAGCTGTGGAGGAGTTGCCTCCACAGGGAGGGCTTGTGATACTTCCTAGGAGTGATGTTAGGCTTCATGCCTACAGTCTGCCTTCGGCACAGGCGTCAGGGTAAGTGCAGTGACCACAGGGTGGCACTCTGCCTCCCTACTGAACGTAAGTACTTTGTAGAAAAGAAACTCCCCCCAGCCAGTGCCAGAGGCCGGGGAGCAAATCCGTCCACCCACGGAGCTCTCTGCACGAGGCCTGGCGGAGCTCGCCCCAACACACTTACGTTCCACAGCCCCTCGCCAAGATGACCTAAGGAACACCCATGACGTGGGACCTGTTTACTTCCCATCATGCCTGACAAGCAGGCACGTGACTTCTCAAAGAGAAGAAGAAGAGGTAACAGAGTGAAGTTTGGCCTTTTACAGCTTTACCAACTGCATACACTTAAAGGTAAGGATACCTCCAAGATATAAGACCCCATTTTGGATTTACTATGGGCTAAATGCTTTACCTACACTCAGTCCCTTGAACTTATGTGTGTTTCCCTGGTCCTGACTGTCTACCAGGTTTTTATAGAACTGTGAAGAGTAACATGGGGTGAGGATGGGCTAGAGCAGCGGTCGCCAACTAGTGGTCCGTGAGGTCTGGAAGGTTGGCGACTGCTGGTTTCAGGAAACCTTTGGAGCAGCAGTCGCCAACCGGTGGTCCATGGACCAATGGTGGTCCATGAGGTCTGAAAGGTTGGCAACCGCAGGGTTAGAGGGAGACAATAGGAATCCTATATAATAAAAGCCTAATATGCTAAGTGTCTGGTCGTCCATTCAACCAATTGAGTAATATGCTAAGGCCGCTCAACCGCTTGCTATGACGTGCATTGACCACCAGGGGGCAGACGCTCCGACCAGTAGGTGAGCTTGCTGCTGGGGTCCGGCCAATCAAGATGGGCCAGACACACCCTGGCGCCCTCCCGCAGTCCCTCCCCAGCTGGCCAACCTGCGTCCCTCCCCAGCCCCGATCATGCACCAGTGTGGTCCCTCAGCCTGGCCTGCGCCCTCTCGCAATCCGGGACCCCTCGGGGGATGTTGGAGAGCCGGTTTTGGCCTGATCCTCCAGGCCAGGCTGAGGGACCCCACTGTTGCATGAATTCATGCACTGGGCCTCTAGTTAAGATCATAATTTCCCTCTCTCTCATTGACCAGAGCACAGCTAACTTGAGCAAGTATCCAAAGATGGAGCAGAATCGGGCCTGCGTTCCATGACTATGTGACCCTAGCACCTTGCTGAGCACTGTGGTGAGCCCCTCACATACGCTCGCACTGTTATAATCCACATTTTGCAGGTGAGAAAATGGAAGTTCACGCAAATGTCCTGGAACTGCCCCGGGCTAAAGAGTAAGTGACGACCTAGGATTCCAAGCTAACTCCACAGCCTCTTCTCATTCTGAGCCCCACCTTTCATTCTGAAACCTATATTTGAAATTTCTAAGAGTGATTTACGGCTTTTAAAGGTTTAATATTAACTTCAAGAACCTCTTACCTTTTCGGAAGGTGACTGGAGAGTGCACAGCCTTTCTCCGCGCCCCTCTGGCTCCACCAGCTTTTTTCTGGGTAAAAGTGATAGTTCCTGCAAAGACAGGCAAGCATCTTCACCCTGGCGTGTGTGCGTGATTATTCACGTATCCTACTGTAAGACCTTCGAGGGCAGAAGCCTCTGAGGGGTGGATTTTATTCAAAACCAAGGAAGCAGAACAAAAGTGCAGATGAAGGAAGGCAGACTCCGAGTCGTGGTTTCCTTACAGCACAGCCATGGTGCTGTCCAAAGGCACCTGTCCTGGGACAACAGCTCGCGGCCTGAGGTCAGGCACTAAGTCCACGAGCTGTGAACACCCACAGATGCCACAGTAAACTGTATCAAGAGAATGACTGGTTTCTTAAATTCCAGAATTAATAGCAACTATTCAATGTTTGTTATGCAAAATGTTTTACTTATCATCATCAGTAACTCTATGAGGTATGTTTTAAATAACATCTGAGGGCACCAAGTAAGCTATACACATTTATACTATCTGTTAGCTCTAAGTATGTTTTACTTTAGTAATCAAAACTCAACTATGGCAAAAACTAAAGGAAGGCTAGCAATAAATAACATCTTTAAATGTGGGAAAGGATGTTCAAAGGGTAAAAACAGAGCTGCTTAATATTCTTCTTCTGTTTTATATCCATCCTGAAATCTACCAGAATGGTTTTTTGTCAATTACAGTTGACATTCAACATTATTTTATATTAGTTTCAGATCATTTGTATAACTTATGAAGTGATTCCCCCCAATAGGCCTAATATCCACTGGACACCATACATTGTTATTACAATATTATTGACTATATTCCCTATGCTGTACTTTACACCCCTGCAGAACTTGATTTGGAAAAATCAAGTTCTTTAACCAAACACAAAAGAAACAGAGTCCCAAGTCAATCATATCTAATTTACTGACTGTTCAAATGCTATTACAAAAAGGTCATTTGTTTTAAAAGATTCCTAGGGTTTTCTTATTTCCCAGTACAATGTCTTACATTCTGCTGAAATGAGAATTGCTTTTCACTAAGACTTACAGCTGTTACTAATGAAAATGTAACTTTAGAGACAAGAAGGAATAGGCCCAAATTATACAAGATAAAAAAGCTTTGTCTTACCATGTGGCCAAGGTGAGCCCTGAGGTTGCCCAAAAGATTTCCCTTTTGGGATATAACTTGGTTTGGGTATATTTCTGACTTTTCCAGGTCGATTTACTGGAAAGTTGTGACCATATCGGGTCTCTCTAAAGTAGAAATTACATTATTATTATTATTATTATATTCCTAGAATCTCATATCAGTGATAAAACTGTATTTCAAAAAGCCCAGATTCTGCCTCAGATGAATACACTCACTTATTCTGTACCTCAGTGACATAGTTAGTATGTGATAACTCTCAACAAGTTATTCTTCATATCTCAAACTTGTGTATTTTTCAAAGAAACTATTTTTGTTCTCCATCTATTTCAAATTATATATGTACTGCCCTGGCCGGGTGACTCAGTTGGTTAGAGCCTCATCCTGTACACTAAAAGGTAGCAGGTTTAATGCTCAGTCAGGGGGCGTGAAGGATGCAACTGATCAATGTTTCTCTCTCTCCCCCTCAAATCAATTTTAAAAATTCTCTAGTTATTGTGTATTTAAGACCCTACTTTGTTCTAGAAAAGATTCAAAGGGCATCTGGGCCCGGCCATTGTGGCTCAGTGGTTGAGCGTCGACCTATGAACCAGGAAGTCACAGTTGAATTTCCGGTCTCCATCCCGTACAGAAGGCAACCGATCAGTGATTCTCTCTCATCATTGATGTTTTTCTCTCTCTCCCTTCCTCTATGAAATCAATAAAAATATATTTCAAAAAAGCAACACAAAAGAAAACAAACGGCATCTGGTATTTTGAGTGCACCCTAGTGACCAGACTGCATCTAGGTCTGTGTTGGGTACATCTCCTGTAGCCTCTTAAGTTACGTGATTACAATCTTTATTTTGTCAAAAGGTAGTCATATTAACAACACTGTATTGCCAATTGTTGTTCATCATATAAATCACCAACAAGTATAGTTTTGTGTTTGTTTGCCATGTGTAAGAACCTACACTTGATTACTTTTCTTTAGCTTTAGCATTCCCTGTTTAATTCCTGCCTAACGAACTCATGTCCAAACCTACTGCAGGTCATTAACTTAGGAAGAATTATGTAACTATCTACAAGTGAATCAGCAACCCCGGGACAGGCAGGAGGAGGTGGCAGAGGGAGGAGTGGCAGCCGGTGGGACTGTTTCTGCAAGAGTGGAGCCTAGTGGAGAGCAATTAGGACGCAAGTTACAGGAGGAAATATTAACAAAAACGACAGGGAAGAAGAAGGGATTGAACAGACATCAAAATTGCATTAGGTAAGGTGTCTTAGAGATTTAATGCCACTGTCTTCCTTGGTAATTGTATGCACTTATAAAGAAATCATAATTAGGAGCCATTTTTCTCTTCACTTTATCACAATTCTGAGCAGGGTAGATGCAAATACAGTGAACCTGGGTCACAAAAGCGCTTCATTTCTTAGCACGCCTGACATTGTCTTGCCAAAGGACATAAACCTTATCTTACCTTCTTGGAGAAAGGGAGCTTTGCAGCCTGCAAGTGTGAACAGTCCTGGGCTTGCTGGGCAATGGCTTCTGTGCTGGTACCTGTACCGACTCAGACAGCAGTTCATTCATCAGACTGTACGCTTGTGAAATTCGACGGCTGTAGTGGTCACAGAGTAGCAATCTTTAGAGAAAGAATTAAACAACATTTAATAAGTCACTTTCAGTTCATATTTCTAGAAGGAACACAGTGTTTGAAGACCACTTAGCATGTGTTTTTTTCAATGCTTTTCAAATGCACTTCAAATATAATTTTCAAGTTCATATGTCTGAAGACCATTACACAGTATTAAAGGTGCCTATAGCTGTGGCCTTTGAGGTAGTTTCAAAATGCATCCACATTATCTGAATTGGGAGAGGGGAATCCAGAAATAAAACTCATAAAAATTGGAGGAAGTAATATTTGAAAACAAATTCCTAACTTGGCTAGTGGAGTCTAATTATTTTCCTTGCAGCACATCCCATAGTTGACAAAAAAGGGACTACTGTGGAAACCGGAATTCCTTAGGCTTTTTTTTTTTTTTTTTTTTTTAGGGGAGAGTGCGAATGTAATTCCCCACTACCACAAATTATGCAGTCGAGTTTCCCACATTTGGGGAAATCGCAGGGGTCAGCACATCCGGAGTGCAATGGACAAGCCTCACCCCGGGAAAACCACCTTCATGATCATGGTCTCTCCCCCACCAGGTCAGTATCCACAGGCATTTTCTATGCCTCAGGTGAGCAAGCCAGAGAGGGTATTACCACTCACCTGTCTTTTTCATGCTTCATCTTTTGACTCAGCCTGATTTCCCTTGAAGTCATATAAAACTGTGTAAGAAATAATCCAGTTAGCTCATTATTGTACAGCAGAAACAATTAAACCAGTATGATTCATGGAAAACATGAAAATCCACTAACCAATTTTAACAGGAGGTTAAAACATAATTTTATCATTTAGGAAATAGTGCAAAATACTGTCAATTACATGAAGCTTCTGACCCCAGCACAAAACATGAAAATGTTAAAGCATCATGTAATTAAATAAAATCCAATTTAATGAGTGGAATGCAAAATCTATTTTAGTAGCTAAATATGTTTTCTAGAAAAGAGATCCTTATCAGCTGCATTTAAAAGGGAAAATAAGAACCTATTAAGGATGGAGACACCTCTACTTCGTACTCAATCTGGTGATTAATCTCACCAACAGCTTGGTTGATAAAGCAGAAATGAACCAAACTTCTGAAACCATCATTTTGATGTTTCAAAATGTTCACCAGAAACTTACTGCAGTGAATTCATTGTGACTGTAAACTCTTCAAAACTTAGGCACCAAGAGGCAAACTAGCAAACGTCGCTATATACATCTTAATGTTCGGTATGTTGAGTTGCTGATGAGGTTAAGTCTTTTCATACAAATTTTAAGTATAAAAAGGTGCACACAGAAGTGAATTCACTTTCTCAAGATCCTATATAATAGTCAGTAACAAATTATGTTTTTAATTACATTAACCCCTCACTATTCCCATACCTTTACCCAAATAGAAGCTACTAATAAATGAGGTCCAAGATCTTGAAGGACACGTCACAAAGTTTATGAACCAGAGTCTATTTATTCTTAATTTGGACACAACTCTGACCCTCTTGGGTATTTGTTTGGCTGGCAGGGAGGGTGACATCAGACCCCCCGACCCCTGACCCATGGGGTGGAGAAAACACACACATATCCACGTGCACTTTAAGATTCTGGTTATGTACCTCAGCAGCCCTGAAGGTCATCCACATGTTCTCAGAGCTACTGACAAAACGTTACATCGACATCAGCATGCTCTCTGCAGACACAGGTAAGTAAACTACCTTTACGCTGCTAAGTAAACACTTTAAATACTAGTTCACCTACTTCTGCACCATTTGGTGCTTAAATGTGACGATCTTATCTGGAAAATTCACTTATGGAATGATGCTAAAAAGAATGAAGTACTTATTTTATTTCATGTTAGAAAGTAAAAGATGAACTGTAATCGAGATGAACCTGACTGGGACGTTCCCAGCACTGGGATGACTGCGAGAACACTGCTGTGTCACCTTTAGAAGCCCCTCCGACCCAGCCAGGAAATGCCACAGCAGGCTCAGTGAGCACAGTGACAGTCTGAGGGACAGGTGGCACACACAGTGCCCTTGTTCTGTCGGTACATGACTGGACCATACAGTGTTCTGTAGGGAAGGTACGGATAGAAACAGATTTTAAATGGCTCCCCCACACACACATGTATTCAGCTGCAACAGACTCAGTGAAAATAGGGAACTACTCCGACCATCACAGGAGTAGTTCAAGCTCCTCAAGCTCCTCATTTGTGTAAAATGCTAGAGCCATGGTTAGCCTGCGGGAGAAAAAGTACTTAAGATGATAATTCAATGGAACATGGGCTGTGCAATACTCTGCTACCTTTTGTTAAGGTAATTTCCTAACTTAAGTAAAATGCTGACTTTTCTGTCAAATTAAAAATGCATTTAAATTTTGTTCATCCTTTTCTTAAATTTAGCCAGGAAAAAACCACAGGCATCCTGTGATGTCCCCTTGTCCCTGACCCTGCAGACTCACCGCGTTGCTCCTGGGGCAGAAGGGGTCGTGCTCCTGCCCCCTCCTCTCCGCCAGCTCGTGTAAGTACTCCGCCATCCTCTCTCTCCGCTTTCTTCTCATCCAGACTTGAATCTCTCTTCTCTCCTTGGCAGTTCTTCCAGGTCGGCTACCAGAAGATTGCTGAATCCTGAGGAATGTAACAGGCAGAGTATTGCTTGACTTTAACTGTGTGATGGACATAAGCAGTACCACAACTACATACTGTTTATTTGTTAAGATTCTGTCCCATCTCAAAAAGTAGTATACAATTATAACCCCTGGTCAACTTGCTCCAACCTGTCCCCTGAAATCCCTGGAAATGACCTTGGGAAGGTCACCAGTGGCCTCTCCAGTCTTCATCCCACTGGACTTCTCTTTAACAGTTGATACAATTTGGCTTTTCCTTTCTGCTTTGAACTCTCTCTTCCCTGATCCTTTCTAACTCAAAACTCTATGCAGCACCTTACACTGGCCCCTTCTTCTGTGCTCACCACTCGATACTAATGTCTTCCAAGGGGCTGCTTTGGACTTCTTAGTCTGTAATCTGTTTCTGGATTATCTCAATCATTTCCAAAACCTTCCTACAGGCAGAACTTCTACACTGCTGCCCGCTGGATCCAGCCTCCCGAGGGCGACCTCTCTTCCTTCCCTCCAAGCCACAGGAGGGGCCAGCACTGTACTGTGCTCTGATGCCTCTCCAACTTCCGGTTTCCCCCTCACATGCATTTCTCCTGGTAAACCTCGTGGACAGCTAGTCCCACGAGGCTTCTGCTTCTCAGAGGATAAGAACTGACTCGAGTAGTACTGAGAGTCCAAGAAAGCAAACTCGGCACCCAGGGTGCAAAGAGGGCACCCTAGGAAGGTGGGTCACGGATATAAACGATGTGTTTTACATGAATGCATGCTGTCCTCCTGGGAGTCTGGGCTCGGTATGCACATTTCCTTAGCAAGACAGAAAATGAATACAGTTCTAGGTGTAAGGTGCCAGGAGAACATTCAGTTGGTAATGTTCATCGGTACTTAGTTTTAGGTCCTCCCAGAAGCAGATGCCAAAATGTTTATGGTTCAAGAACATTCAAAATTAGCCATATTTCATTGAAACGTCTTCAAAGCTTAAAATAGATTTTTTTCTTTATCATGAAACATTTTCTGATGTTTACGTATCGCTCCTCCCCTCCCCAGTAAAACCTGTGGGCACTGGGTCTCTGGACAGGCCTCCCCGGGACACAGCAGTTCATACATGTTGTCACTGGAGGCAGTGTGTCCTGTGTGCGGGAGTGCTCCACTGACGGTTCTTGGAAGCTTGTGCCTGGTTTCCCCTGGAATTTCTCCATGTACCTATTCCCTTTGCTGATTTGGCTTAGTATCCTTTTGCTGCAATGAGTATAGTTGTGCGCGTGACTGGTTGAATTCCGAGTCCTCCCGATGAGTCAGTGAACCTGGGCTGATCCTGGGGACCCTTTCACCGGGGTCGGAGCTGCACCGGCACTGAAGTCTGACCACTCTCTCCACCTCCCATAGTCCCTCACAGGGGTTCCTCCAAATTAATCTCTTATCATCTAAATCTCACTTTGGTATCTGCTTCTGGGAGGACCTAAAACTAAGTACCAATGAACATTACCAACTGAATGTTCTCCTGGCACCTTCTACCCAACACCACAGAAATCATCATCAACTCTGTCATCCAAGTAGAGAGTCATTCTCACTTCCTCCTGACAGTCGCCAGGTTTACTCGCGCTGGGGGCCCTGCACTTCCCATCTGAGCCATCTCACAACTAAGTCAGACCTCTGATTGGCTCCCATTTCTGGTTTAAAGCCCTTTGCTGACCGCCCCCTACTGCTTGCAGATGGGCTAAGAGAAATAGGATTAAATGTGTGCTGTACTCAGTGCTGAGGGTTTGGGAAAATGCATACGATGCAGATGTACCCTGTAAGTGAAAGTAACCAGTCTGTGTTCTGGGGAGGGGAGGAGCGAAACAAACATCACAAAATGTGTTCATGATAAAGAAAAAGACCTATTGTAAGCTTTGAATTTGTTTCAGTAAAATGTGGCTAATTCTGAATATTCTTGAACCATAAACATTTTAAATGGTTAGAAATTAATTATTAACTAAAGTATTCAGGGTTACCTAGAGATGCTCCTGGCTTGTTGTTCTGTTAAGCCCAGCTCTTTACTGGAAACTCCATCTTTGGTGATAAGGTCATCAATAATGTCTGCAATGTCAGTCAGCCCAGTCATCTGGAGTGGATCTGCTGAAACGCTTCATTTGCAAATGCAATTTGAGAAAAGTAGGTCAGTATCTACCACTTACTACAGCAATAAGAACATGTAAAACTATGCCCTCTGAGAGCCTAAATGAACACAAAAATGATAAACATAAATACTGTTCCTTGTATTCTTTAATCCAGTAATCCTCAGTGGAAAGCCTGATCATCAATAATTGATCAATATGTGCTCTTACAAAAGCAACATGAGGCCCAGGAGACAAGTTCTCCCTGTCCTGCCTGAAGAAACTTAATATATATACAGTAAAAGAAAATGTAGCCAATGCAGCTTATGGTATCCTTACTGCCTGTGCTAACACAGTGAGGGGTGTGACAGTCCTCAGATTTTTTAAAACATCTCATTCCCAACGGGAATTATGTTCCTTTAATCCACAAAAAAATGTAGTGTAGACGTTCACATACATATGAACGCAATTGCCAGAAAGTATATACCCAACTTTAAGTAAAATTGTAGATTAATTCTTAAGATATTTACCTCTCAAATAACTCATCATGGTTATTCACACCTTAAAAAAAAAAAGACATTATTTCAAAAAATGTTCAGGTCAGTTAATTTTCTACTTTCAATTATTAACCTGACTTAGGAATTATATAAACAGAAATTAAAATATTTTTAAACCTCCAAATTGGTTTAAAGCAGCGGTTCTCAACCTGTGGGTCGCGACCCCTTTGGGGGTCGAACAACCCTTTCACAGGGGTCGCCTAAATACATCCTGCATATCAGATATTTACATTATGATTCATAACAGTAGCAAAATTACAGTTATGAAGTAGCAACGAAAATAATTTTATGGTTGGGGGTCACCACAACATAAGGAACTGTATTAAAGGGTCGCGGCATTAGGAAGGTTGAGAACCACTGGTTTAAAGGTATATGTGTGTATTTATCCTCCTCTTGAATACGCTATTCGGTAGGAAATGTCCACATTTTTAGATTACTACTTCTGTGCTCAGAATACTCTGAATAATACACTTTAGGAAGTACAATCTTTCTTTGCTTAGTACAGTTTAGAATACTGGAGTGCAATTTATTAAAACAGTCTCAAAACACAAACCTGTATGGTCTAAAAGTAATACATTTGGAAAAATATCTAATTTAAATCCAAGAAGCCTTTACCAAGAGAAAAAAATTACAAGATTTAATGACAGCTGGTCTACAGCCTTTCTTTTATTTAAATGACAGCAATGCCATTTAAAAATAGCAATTTTTGCTGCTTACATTATTTTAACAATGGTAATAAAATATATTGTAAACATTCAGTAAAATCATTGACCATCAATATCTAGGTTTAAAAAAAAACAGTTCAAATCCACTGTCAATGGTAAACCATTGCACTTAGTAGGACCTTTCATTCCCGTGCTAGAGGGATCTGTTAGGACTAAAGAAGATCACTTCATCCAGCTGCAAATGAAACAGAACGAAGGGGGCACTAAAGTTTTCTATGTCTCAATGTCCTTAGCTGTGAAGTGCGGACATTGACGTTCCCGGCCTCGCAGCCAGGTGGCCCGGGCGATGCCATGGCACACGGCTGAGGCGCGATAAGTCACAGTCACTATTTTTTTTTTCAAATTAAAATGCAAGTCGCATAATTGGCAGTGTTTGAATTTCTCAATTAAAAAAAAATCAAATATTTTAGTAATTTCAGTTGTAGATTTCACACTAATAAGCTACATAGAGATATAATGCTTGCTTGCAGTGTATCTTATGAAGGTAATAAGACAGAGTTCATGTGAATGGTGCAATTTTTTAACTTCCCTTCCCCCAAAATTTGTAAGTATTGTAAAATGGCTTCACAAATCCTTCCTAACTTTATTCCCAGTAAATACTACTCAGTAACAACAATATATTGTTACATCCTTCAGTATATTGGAAAATAAGTGTAAATTGATAAAGTGGAGCACAATACCGGGAAAACTCGTATTCTGGTCACTGGAGAGGCTGAGAGCTGAATCGGCAGAAGGAAACACACACGTTTTCGGACGAGAATGAGTTTCTGTTACTGAAAATTCATCTTCAAAAGTCTGTTCTTTGTCACTTTGATCTTCCTTATTCATATGAGTCAGGAAATGCACTGATCCAGAGTCTATATTACAATTAAAATAGTAGAGGGGAAATCACAGGTAAAAAACAGTGCGCAGCAGACACTTCCACATGGCAACAGATACATCAGAAGTTTGCAACATATTCTGATAGCTTTTTACTGTTTAATGAAATGGTATGATATTTAAAATTTATACTCTCCAATAGCAAAAAAGAAATCTGTTAAATTTCTTATCAACTTCAGAAAACATAGCAGACTGAGCTAAAGTGGAGAGGTGCCTGCCCACCATAAAAACACAAAAGAAATGCTAACTCAAAAAAAACGGATTAATATACAACAAAACCCTGTAAATAAAACAATCCCCTGGTGCCAGAAAAGGAATGGAATTCCAAGCTGGGAGTAACTGGACAGCGACACTGGCGGAGCCCACAGAGGACCCAGGGGAGGCTCAGCAGGCTGCGGCGGGAGGGGGACCAGGCCGCTTAGTGCAGCCTGGAGCCGAAGGACAGCAGCTCTGTCCTCAAGGTGGGTGTGGGGAAGCCTGCCCCGGACAAGCAGCCAAGACGTTTCTGTCGCCGGGAGAGTGGACGGAAGGAAAATGAAAGTCAGCTCTGAGAAAGCAAACCCCTGTCTTGCCACGAACAGGCGTGGGGTCTGAATTTACACCATCAATGTAGCACAGCAACTCCAAGCCAAGAAGTGTTCACAGAAATCCGTCCTAAAATTTTCTACTTCAGTGACAGTAAATGCAAACCACTCCCAGAAAAGCATGCACACTCAGCAGAATCCCCCAAAGATGAGACATTACAAGTCGCACAGAGAAAGACACAGCCATGGAAGAGCCGTATGCAGACTCCACGAAAGAGAACATGCCCGTATGAAAGGAAGCAATCTGAAAGGGCTTGTACACTACTAGCCAGAAAACAGATAGAAGGCGACACAGAAACCACAATGAAAGAAGAGACCAGTATATCCAAAGAGCAAATCGATCTGAAAAAGAAACAGAACTTCTAGACATAACAACGTAGGCACCAAAATTAAACGCCTACAGCAAAGGTGCCATGGCAGAGAGAGAACCTTGGGCTAAAAGGTGGGTCGGAGGGCACCAAGCACATCGCCGAGAGAGAAACGGCGGCAACTGAGAAGTGGCTAAGAGGGAACAGAATGAGAAGGTCCGACGTACCATAGAGAAGAAGTAAAAAGAAATATGCACCTAGAAACAGTATCAAAAATGCCAGAAGAGGGGACAGCATCGGCTTCTCAGAGAAAAGGGGCTGCCGTGGGAGCCAATCACATTTCCACACCAGTGACCCCAGTCTAGGAACTGGGGCTGATGGCTTCAGCTCAGTGAAAACCATCCGTATCTGACATTCCAAAGGCAATGCTTATTCTTTCAAAGCAAGGCTCTGGGCAACCCCCACCCCAGCCAGCTCCCCACAAACCTTCTTTGGAAATGGCAATGGGTTTTGAAGCCAGTGTTTTTTCAGATTCAGGGCCAGATGACAATTCAATGTCATCCACAGAGTCAACCTGTAGAAAAACCACACCACAAAATAGCTGTTATAAATTTTATAGTGCGCTAATTTCAAAATATTATAAATAATTTTATGTAGGTTTTAAGCATTTGCATTAATGCAACAAATGAAAGAAATGGGAAGTTTTACTTATTTGTGGTGTAACTGATTTAACTTTTTAAGAGGCTCGGGAAAATAGCATCATGTCATATAATTTAGACTAGGGAGCAATGTCAACTACCATCCAGACAAAACCTTTTACTCTAAAGATGAGAGACCAAGGCCCAGAGGCATTCAGTGACGTTCTCAGAGGCAGACATGGACTTGAACCGGGTCTTCAAGGCTCCCAGTCAGTGCTGGGCCACAGTAGCCTCTGCCTCCTCCAGGCCTACAAGCTGCTTTCTTCCCTAAAAGGGGCAGGTCAGCAGCTCTGCATTTGTATGTGCTTTCTAACAGGAAGAGAACATCTGAAACCAAAATGCCAAACCTGCCATTTAAATCAATACTATTTCCTTCAAGGCACTTAGCATCATTGCCAAATAATACACTGTCTTACCTCATATATTTTTAGTGTAGTTTCTTATATGTTTAATCCTAACTTTTTAATGTGTGTTCAATAGCTGGATTGAAGAAATACTGTAAACCTGATAAGTACATCTTTAACCTGTCAGCATGCTGGCGGCCTGGAGTGCTTGTTGGTACGTCAGGGATGGAATTCTTATCCTGCACACCAATCTGCATTTCCCAATATAAGGCTCTAACACATTCCAAATATCTTCACTATTTACTCTTTTATCTTTATTTTACATACATCTTACTTCCTAAAAAAGGACAGGATATTTGTGCAAAATAATTAAATGTTGGAGACTTCCTTTGTAGTTGTCTATCATGATATGCCCATATACATAAACATTAATCTTTTTATTATGAATACTTTTTAAAGAAATAGAAAACTTGTAAGGACTACTAATCCATTGTATAAAATATTTAAAAGAAACTGAGAATTCCAAATAGAAGGACAGTACTTATAAAGTTATAAAAATCTTGAAGAAAATGATAATTAGGAGCAGGGTTTGTTTCAAAGCACATTCTGGTTTTATAATTCATATATATTTTTTCCTGGGAGAAGCTTAAGTTCCCTCCTTAAAAGCTTAAGGCAGTGGTTCCCAACTGGAGGCAGCTGACAGCGAGTGCTGAGACCAGGGATGCTACCAGCAAGCCTCCGACGGGGGCAGCCTCCCCAACACACACAGTTATCTGACCACTCTTCTCAAAAATCAAGTGTTTATAAACATTACACTACAAATCTGGTAACTTGGTAATAAACAAAATAACTAAAGGAAGACCGTCTACCTCCTTGCGGTGCCGGTCCACCACCGGGCCCACCATCCGGTGCTCGTGTTTGGGGAAGTCCTGCTCGATGCGGTCAGCGATGCTCTGTATGGCCAGCAGCTGCGCGTCAATTTTCCGGAGCTGAGAGCTGAGGCGCTGCAGCCGGAGATGGGGGTGCGGGCTGGGCGCGGAGCCAGGAGCGGAGGCGCCCTGCAGCAGCTCCTGCAGCAGGTAATCCCGCAGCCCGCCCCCTTCTGCAGCATCCAGCTGCGAGCTCTCTGCTTTGAATTGGAAAGCTGGCTTCGGCACGTCTGAATATTAATAAGGGTAATAAGACAGCTGATTACAATTCAGGGAGAGGTAGATGCTGATGATCTGACCTTTAGGAAGATCTCAATTTAAGTGAACATACATCCCATTCCAAATTAGGTTTAATCACAGACTTAGAAATGCCACTTGTCTCTGTTGTGAGATAAGAATGTGATGTGAAAGTGTTACTGTGACCACAGACTTCTACATACAAGGCAGTTTGAATGTTACTTTAAAAAGATATATTTTTTTTATTGATTTCAGAGAGGAAGGGAGAGGGCTTGTGCCCTAACCAGGGATCGAACCGTGGCCTCCCCGTTCCTAGGTCGATGCTCAACCAGTGACCACCACCAGCCAGGCTTGAATGTTACTTTTATCCTCTGCTACAAAAATATAATAAAAAAAGCAACTTTTCAATTCTCCTTGAAAACCAACAATATCACACAGTAAAAGCTAGACCCAACGTCGGCCATTCCTGACTCTGAGGATATCTCCGGCAGTCAACCTGCCCGACCTACCGAACTTGGAGGGCTTGTGAAGATCAAGCTATGGGGCAAAATGATCTGAAACATGTGACTTACAAACAAATGTAACTGGTGCTTATTGTCATTCAGTCCCATCTGGGGGGACCACGTCTGAATATTAATAAGGGTAATAAGAGGAAGGCACGGGGAGAGGAAGGCACATCCCAGGGCTGGCGATATGGGTGGTGACGGGGTCTTTCTCCAGCAGCTTGGGCTGCACCTCTGTTACCTTCCTCAGTGCTATACCACCTGCCCTTCCCGTTTCCCAGCAGCCAGAATGTCTCCCTTCATCACTCTCGGGAAACAATGTGGTGCATGAACTTCAAATAGAAAATACAGCAGAAAATCCTGGCCAGTGTGGCTCAGGGGTTGAGCGTCGACCTATGAACCAGGAGGTCACGGTTCGATTCCCAGTCAGGGCACAGGCCCAGGTTGGGTGCTCGATCCCAGTGTGGGGCGAGCAGGAGGCAGCTGATCAATGAATCTCTCTCACCATTGATGTTTCTCTCTCACCCTCTCTCTGAAATCAATAAAAAGAAAATACAGCAAAAAAAAAAAAAAAAAAAGGACATGCTCAAAGCCCTCATGGCCAACAGACCTCATGAAACAGCTTCCCTTTACCCGGAGAGCCTGCGCACCCAGTGACGTGGGCAAGTCACCCAGGAGGGGACCTCGGCGTCCCATGGGCTGCAGGGCTCCCCGGCCCAGCCAGGCTGCTGTTGTTACCGCCGGTGTCCCTACAGGAGATGCAGCTGTTACTGGAAATAATGAGTAAGTTTCCACTAAAACAGGGATTTGCAGTTTGTTTTCCATTTTAAATGCCTAGGGCCCCGCCCCTCCCTTTGCCCAGCCTTTTCCTCTAACGCAAATCCCAGGCAACTCTACGGTGCGACTGCCTACATTCTGTGTCTTTAAAGTATATTATGTAGCCGAAACCGGTTTGGCTCAGTGGATAGAGCGTCGGCCTGCGGACTGAAGGGTCCCAGGTTCGATTCCGGTCAAGGGCATGTACCTGGGTTGCGGGCACATCCCCAGTGGGAGATGTGCAGGAGGCAGCTGATCGATGTTTCTCTCTCATCGATGTTTCTAACTATCTCTCTCCCTTCCTCTCTGTAAAAAATCAATAAAAAATATATAAAAAGTATATTATGTAAAAACCGTGATTTAAGTTCTTCTCTTCGATAAGTATAGCCGGGTCCACTGACATTCTCGTGACCAGGCAGTCTCCCCGGCAGAGCATCCCCTCAAAGGTGGGCACGGGCTTGCTCCACTGGCAGAGGCCAGCAAGCTGTCGTTTGAAATGCTGCCCAAGACATTCAGTGGTCACAGGGCGACGGGTCTGGTTCCAGTTTTCAAATTTCAGAATTCAACCGATAGGAAGTGAAGGGCAACTCCGGGAGGCCCGGGGAGCCACAGGCGCTTGGCTGGATGCAGCCTCTGACCCACAAGGGCACCCACAGACGCTCAGGGAGGCCAGATCCAGTGAATCTTGCCAGTCTCCCAGGCCGTGGCCGGGCTGGGACTGAAGCCCAGGTCTGTTCTGTCTGGATCTGAAATGCACGCTCTTTCCTGCTCCAGCCTGAAAGCCGGCAGCCTCCCACGTCCTCCTCACGCCCCACGCAGCTGGCAGCCCCGGCGGAGAGAGGCCAGAGCCTTCGGGTGCCAAATGCTGGCCCTACGTGTACTTGCGGCTGCAGACACCCGCCCTGCCACCGTCCCGCCCTGCTCCTCACAGCCCCCGAGGCCCGTGCTGACACCATGAGCAGGCAGTGCCGACTGCCCCCCGGCATCTGACAGCCCAGGAGGGGCCAGGCCTCCCACAGGTTGCTGCTGCAGGAGGTCGGGCGCATGTTTGCTCATCTGGTCCTTCACATGATGTAATGACTGGGTTTTGAAGAAATCATCTTCTTAATCTTGCAAGTATGGTACAATAATGCAACCTGATTTATGACTATAAAACTCAGTATTTTACTATGAGGTACTGTTGGCAACCGGCCTGTGTATTCCTATGTGCTATTCTAGAATTTCCTACCTTTTTAAACATGAGAATTCCTTTTAACGCCAAAAATCTCATGAAACCCCACAGGATATTTTTTGCCAACCTCATTAATTGAGAAAAGACACCTGCAGCCTCCTTGCAAAATATCCATGGCCGAGAGCCGGACCCACATTTACCCACTGTCCCCGTCTCCTGGGCAGGGGAGAGGTCGCCTTCTGGTTCCTTTTGCAATTGCCAGGGTTTAGTGCTCGTCTCCCCCAGGGCAGGGAGAGGAAGGGGCAGCTCCTGCTGTCGTCTGGGGCGCTCACCTCTGTCCTCTCTGACTGATGATGGAGGGGAGGGGACCCCCGGCTCCTCTGCTTGGGCAGCGCCTGCTCTCCAGCTCCCCCCCTCCACACAGGATGGCGACACCTCTGCAGGTGTGAGAGGGAAGTCCACCGCAGAACTGGCAGGTCCTATCAAGGAAGCAAAAGGCATAGAAGACTGATCTATGCTTCTAAACGCGGAATTCGGAAGATTAACAGATCATTTCTGAGCACAAATATAAACATCCAAGATGCAGTGGTTCCCAGGGGAGCCAGGAGACGTAAGCAGGGCGAACAATGCTGTGGGAAAACTACCTTGACTCTTCACCCTGCGCAGGGGAGCAGCGCTGGTCACGGACGCGGCCATGTGATGTAACGCCGCAGAGGACGGGCCTTCCGCCGGCCGCGGGAGGATGTCCTCATCGGAAGGCTCTCTGACAGGCACTTCCTGCAGGTCGCCAGCTTCAATGTCAATCACATTTAGGTAAGTGTGTCCAACCTGAGCCAAAGCGTAACATCCAAGGGGGTTACGTTCCTTACTCTCTATGGCCACTCTGCCCACCCCCCTCCCGCCCTCCACCCCCATAAAAACGTTCGCTTCCGAAGGCAAGAAGGGCTCCCAGGCGCCCACTTCAGGGAAAGCTGCAGGAAGAAGTGCTATCATCTCAGTGATAATATTTAGGGGCATAATATTTAACCTTACGCTTTTGACCTTTCAGCAAAGCTTACCTTTCCAGGTAAGACTGGCAGCCTCATTTCATCTATACAGTTGAATAATGAGGATGACCCTATACCAGTGATGGTGAACCTTTTGAGCTCGGCCTGTCAGCATTTTGAAAAACCCTAACTTAACTCTGGTGCCGTGTCACATATAGAATTTTTTGATATTTGCAACCATAGTAAAACAAAGACTTATATTTTTGATATTTATTTTATATATTTAAATGCCATTTAACAAAGAAAAATCGACCAAAAAAATGAGTTCGTGTGTCACCTCTGACACGCGTGTCATAGGTTCGCCATCACTGCCCTATACTAAAGTTTTAGCAGAAAGCTATTATGGAAACTTCTGAACCAAACCCAAACCAAATTTCATACCATGTCCGGTGCCAAAGGTGACAAAGGCTTCTCTGCCCTTTCGGAGGGAAGCTTGAGATTCAGAAACACATCTGGGGCCAACGGCTGAGGGACAGTCAAAGGTTCACATTCTGAAAATTAAAAAAAGAAAAATCAGGAGTATAAAAAAACCTGTAATTAATCCCAAGTCGTTAGCTTTTAAGAACAAGTTATCAACAAACAACTTAACATGTATTTGTTGAAAATCTAAGTAAAAGTTTCACAGGTATAATTTACTCTAGAGTAATTCTTAATGGAGATTGACGATTGCTTTTTTCATATGAATGATTCAAAGAATAATAAATTATCTAAGTCATGTCAAGAATATATTGTATTTTCTATTTTCCATTTCAGATCATATTAAGTCATGTTTGTTTATTTAGGAGAATTTCAATAAAATCGGATTTTAGGAATTTAACCTATCACTAATTTCTTTTTTGCTTTCAACACTGTTTATCTGTTTATTTTAATAGCTTTATTGAGGGGGACCTAATTCACAGAGTCCATAGATAAATTTTACTACTTAAGATGTTTAACACCTAAATTTTATAAAACTCATTTAACTTCTTATTCAAATGTAAAATAAAGAAACCTGTCACAATAGCTCAGCAGACAATCTAACTCAGTGTCTCTTGTCCTAGGACTCCAATCTTATTTCCCAGCATCTTTTTTTAATAGAACAGTACTTTCAAATTTCATATGCAAACCATAACTCATTGTCATATTGAGTACTGGAAACTTGGTACCAGGGCTTGAATTTATACCTTATGACCACCATAAAGCTAGAAGACAGGAAGTGAAAATACCTAAATTACCATCTGTCTCTATTAGATCCATGGATTGGTGTGAATGCTTTTTCATGGCGGGGGGAGGGGGGGAGGGGGGGGGAGAGGAAGGGGACAGGACTCCTGTTTTGACATCATGCAAACATAATCTTTAATAGTCATGCTTTCTCAAAAAATTTTTTTAAAAAGGAAGAAATCACACCTGATGTGGAGGAGATGGCTTGCTGATTTTTCTGACATTCAGAAACCACTTGAGAAGCAGCTTCTTTATCTTGTAGTCAATTAGGAGATTTGAGGCAAAAGGAGAAATAGCAAAAGAAAAAGGATTTCACAAACACAGGAAAAATTAAATACATAAATGCAGATTTTTAGACTATTGGGTATAAAAGATAGTAGAAAAATAGACTGACAGCTTAAGTTTTTAAAAATTAAGGATAACTTCGTATTTTATTATTATTTATATCCTGGGCTTCATTACCTGGCAAATAGGCTGCAGACTTTAGACTACCCAGCAAAGAACACCCAAGCGCTATCTCATTTAAGAATGTCTCACAGATGACCAACAGACATATGAAAAGATGCTTAAGGTCATCAATCCTCAGAGATGCAAATTAAAACCACAAAAAGCTATCACATCAAGCCTGTCAGAATTGCTATCATCAATAAATTAACAAACATAGAATGCTGGTGAGGATGTGGAGAAAAGGGAGCCCTCATGCACTGCTGATGGGAATGCAGACTAGTGTAACCACTGTGGAAAACAGTATGAAGATTCCTCAAAAATTAAAAATGGAACTGCCTTAATGACCCAGCAATTCCACTTCTGGGGATATATTCAAGGAAACACGAACTACTAATTCAAAAGAATATATGCACCCCTATGTTCATTGCAGCAGTATTTACAATAGCCAAGATCCGGAAGCACATAAGTGCCCCGTGGATAAAAAAAACCATGTAGTACATTTAAACAATGGAATGTTATTTGGTCATAAAAAAAGAACAAAATTTTACCATTTGCAGCAGCATGAATAGACCTAGAGGGTATTATGCTAAATGAATTAAGTCATTCAGAGAAAGACAAATACCATATGATTTCACTTATATGTGGAATCTAAAGGACAATATAAGCAAATAAGCAAAACAGAAACAGACTCATAGATGTGGAGAACAGCCTGGGTGTCAGAGGGAAGAGGGGTGGGGGACTGGGTGAAAAGTGAAAGGATTGATTGAGAAGGACAGATTGGTAGTTACAGACTAGTCACGGGGAGGTGAAGTCCCACAGAGGGAATCCGGTCAATAATATTGTAATCACTATGTATGGGCCAGGTGGGTACTGGAAATGTCAGGGGGAACACTTTGTGCAGCGATTGTCTAAACACTATGCTGTACACCTGAAACTAATGCAAAATATTGACTGTAAACAGTAATTGGGGGAAAAATTTTTAAAAGGAATATCTCAAATCCGCACTAAAAAACATCTTATACATGCTCAATCTCATTCAGAAAGAAGCAAAAACGTAAAAAGTGAAATGCCTTTCTTTGACCTTTCAAACTGGTAAAGATAAAAGAGCTAAATCATAGTAATGACAAAAAAAAAAGCTCTTATGCAAAATAACTCACTGAAGCCTTATTTTTGGAAGAAAAATACTAGAAACCACTAATGTATTTGACATTAAGGAATTACATATTTATGGCACAAATGGAAAATGTTGTCCCAGCCCATCCAATACAGCTACATGTCATTAAACAACCCTTAAACATCTGAATATCTATCCATCCAGCATTACTAAATAATACACAACATGTTAAACACCACTTAATTAACACTCATTTAACCCATTAATTCATGTGCAATGCGCAATGATACGGAACACAGTAGATAGTAATCACCTTCAACACCGCAGCAAACATGTCCCATACTGCAAGTGAATAATGAAATAATAACATGTGAAGACACTCTAACTGGAGAGTCTGCCCCCAGGGACCGGGGAAAAACAAACACTGGAGCCACGAAGGTTAAACTCTTACGGAGCAGAGCAATGCCCCCTGACATGTGTGTGCCGACGGCCGGGGCGCACAGCTGTGCTATGCATGTCTGACGGCCGGGGAGCACAGCTGTGCTATGCATGTCTGACGGCCGGGGCGCACAGCTGTGCTCTGCATGTCTGACGGCCGGGGCGCACAGCTGTGCTCTGCATGTCTGACGGCCGGGGAGCACAGCTGTGCTCTGCATGTCTGATGGCCGGGGAGCACAGCTGTGCTATGCATGTCTAACTGTGTAAAATGCACAAAAGACAATGGAAAGAAAAAAACACCAAAACATTCCTTCCGAATGTGCCGTCACAGTTCATTTCATCTTCCTCACAGCTTGCTTTATTACCCATTCTACAGTTATCATCAATTACTTGGAACCCATACCAATAAGTATTTCACAAGAGTATAAAGTCAGAGGTTTGGAAAGGCCCCACGAGGTTCCATACAGCTAAGAGAAACTGCTTCCCGAATGTCCTATAAAAGAATCACTCCAAGGCCAAGGGCAGAGAACTCACATTTACGAGGGAGTCTGTCGGGCACTACTCCTCCTCCACCGCTGCTTCCCTCTCCGGGGGCAGAGCTGCGTCGCCCTCCCCACAGCACAGGCAACCCGGACCCCCTAACTCACCTTTTCCAGCCACACCCCGGCCTCCCAGCCTCAGGCTCGACTTGCCAGAGTTCAACATTCTGTCCATGGAGCTGGGGTGCAGCCCAAGGCATCTCTGAACAAACATCTCTAACATGCTTTAAGTTATCACAAATTCAATTGGAAATTTGATTTTAAGTTTCAAATGTGTAAAGCATGTATCAGGGTTGGGGACAAGAACCTGGGATGGCTGACTAACACCACATAATTTAAAATTCCCCAAAAAAGTCTAAATATATTAAATGTTGCAAAATATAGGAATGTTTTAAGTTAAAGTAACGTAGCGTGTTACCTGGGTCTGTGTTTGTACTTGCATCCTGACAGTCCACAAGCTTTCTTTTCTGACAGAGGCAGAAATGCAGCCCAGCGGAGGTAGTGACGTCATCGTGTAGCGTTTCTTAAATGTAACAACAAACATTGGAAACCATTGACGAGGAGCCAACAGATTACAGGAGCCCAGAGGCGGAGGAGCTGACGCAAGGGAGGGGGGTCTGGGGTGTCGAGATGTTACCAAAGGGGACTTTCTAAATGAGGGTGGCATCTGACCCAGAGGCCGCTCAGAGGCATCAAAACCAAAATCGTGGGGACTGCATGCCCGGCCTCGGCCGGAGGCGTTGTTCTGGCTGAGGAGCAGCATGATTGTTAAACAGGGGGAGTCATATGGTCAGACCGATGTTCTGGAAAAAGCACCAGCCGGTGTGTGGAGCACGGATCTGAGTGGGAACGCTGACAGTAATGGTGGGGACGGGCAGAGACGCCGATGTTTGGGGTTCCTTGGTAGTAACACCAACAAAGAGAGACCAAGCCAGCTGGTGGGGGGGGGGGGGAAGGGTGACTGTAATGCCCGTGCCCGAGGCAGTTCCCACCCACACGGAAAGGTGCGGCGGGAGGTGGGATCGAAGTCCGCAGCCTGTTAGGGGGTTTGGGTGTAGACTGGGTTTCCTGAGCTCACCCAGGAGTCTAGCAGAATAAGAGAGCATCAGCTATGCTGTGTTGTAGTAACAACTCGGTTCCCAGCACAGAGCTCCCCACACCCTCGGAACGTCCCGAGTGCGGGGCGCCTTTCATCACTCACGAGCCCCCGGTCAGACCTGAGTTTATGCCAAGGCAGCGGCTCCCGGCGGCCCCTGGAGAGCTCCAGGCCGGGACTGGCCAGAGGAACCAACCACAAGATCAGGGGGTTGGGACGTGAGGCCGCCCCGCCCCGCCCCAGGGAGATGGAGTCGAGCACCAATGGCCTGTGCCTATCAGTCAGGACTACGGAATGAAACAACGGCTTCGGGCCTCTGGGGTGATGGGCAGGGGGATGTGCTGGGCGGGCGGCGCCCCAGAGAGAGGCGGGCTCCCTGAGGAGAAGCCTTGGGGATACACACATTCGGCTGCAAGAAGAAACGGACCAGCTGAAGAAAGAAAACCATTTCCTATCCATAAGCAAGTTCTCTTTCCTGAACCGAGGCCTTTACGTTCAAGTGCATGTGTTTTCCGTGAAGAAGCTGACGCCGGCACGCTCTTCCATAACTTCCTGTTGGGCCTTAAATATCAGTGTGTTATTTGAGCTTCTAACTAATTGCATTGCTCCACTGTAGCAGTTGGCAAACTTGCTCTGTAAAGGGCTGGAGAGCATATGCTTTGTGAACCACATGGTCCCTTTCTGCAACGCTGGGCCTGCTGCAGCGCCAAAGCCGCCACAGACAACATGCAATACGTGGACAGGGCTGCGATTCAGGGAAACCGATTCCAGAAACAGGCGTGGTCTGCACCTGGCCTGGGCCCTAGTCCCGTGGTCGGCAAACTGCGGCTCACGAGCCACGTGCGGCTCTTTTGGCCCCTTGAGTGTGGGCTCTTTCCTAAGCCTTAGGAAGCACCCGTAATTAAGTTAATAACAATTGTACCTACCCTAATAGTTTAAAGGTTTAAAAAATTTGGGCTCCTCAAAGAAATTTCAATTGTCTATTGTACAAATTTGGCTCTGCTGACTAATGAGTTTGCCGACCACTGACCTAGTCTGTCAGGAGCGCTCTATTGGATAACACACACACCACCGTGTCAGATCACATGGGAAGAATTTAGCTTCATTTTTATAGAAACATCTATAACTGAACTCAGACACCACACTCATCAGGCATATACATACCCAGAGGGATTTCGAAGGCATCCAGCGTCTGGGAACCACGATGCTCTCGCTGCTCCTAAACGAATCCCAAATGATCAACCTAAGATTAACTCGATGACATTTATTATTTTTAAAAATATATATCATAGCTCTGAGAATGGTTAAGTCTTAGGAATAGGTTCAAATCCCTTAATTCGAGAAATATTTACTCTATCAAATTATTTACTCCATTAACATAACCCTACAAAGGAGTTTCCGAAAGTCCCAAGCCAGGCAATAAAGAAAGAGCGTCACTGGCTTCATGACTAACTACAGCTGCATTCTCTCCTGCAGAGCGTCTTAGCTCACCGTACCCCCTGGGAACCCCCTTGGGGCAGAACTGTTCATGGGCCCACTAATGAGGACTTCATGAGAAGTGTGCGCCTTGTAAACAAAGCTGTTCCATTTAACCTGTTGTTGAAAACTAGGTAAACAGGTCCCCGCTTAGGAGTGTCGGAAGAGATCTGAGTTCCAACACAGGTTGCATAATAAACGTGTATGGGACCTTTTAGAGGCATCTAAGGAGAGAGATGAAACTGAAGTAGGAGAAACCCAAGTCACACCCAAGGCATCACGGTGTCGCAGGAAAAAGCAGAGTGACTTCAAGGTAAGAAGGCCACAGGCACATGCTCTAAGCCGCAGCCTTGGACTGGCCATCGAGCTGCTTCCACCTCACACTGTGCCCTGCTCCCGGAGGCCTGTGTGCTTGATCCGAGTCTGCAGGTCACAATCGGTGCTCCAGCCCGGCCAGGTGCCCCATCCCGTCCCCCGCCTACCCCCTCCCCCCCCACCCCTTCCCCTGGCTCTGCGTGCAGGCCGGGGAGAAGGGGCAGGTGTAGGTACCTCGGCTCTCCCAGCTGCCCCTGAGTCATGGTCAGGAAGGACGACAGCGCCTGGGTGCACGGTCACACTCGGTTTTCTCCTTTGCTGCTCGGAGCTGTTTTCTTGCAGCTCTTTCTCAGCGCGTCGTCTTTGCCTGTGAAAGACAACAGTGTGAAATCTATGCCTCCTGTTTCAGTAACACCAACCAGTGTTTCATTCGTGTCATGCAACCCAGGGAGACAGTTATGGAAACTATGTCCAAAAATTATTTTCAATGGCATTTAATTAAATTAGCAAGATATTCTGCTCCAATAAAAGCAGATACCAGCCGAAGTCGGGGACACATGACGCTGTTCCCAGCTCCTCTGCTAGGGGCTGGCTGTCTGGGTAACCACGGAGTCTCAGGCCAGGATGACACCCGGTAGGGATGTTCAAGCTCCCTTTCCTGCGGTTCTAAGCTGGCCCAGGAGCCTCCGGACACTTCCATTCAAGGAGGCTTACTCGGAAGAGGGAACACCTGGACAAGGTGGAGGAAGGACCCATTTCTGGAAAGAAAGCACTGATAACAGAAGGTAGGGACTAAATGTAAACATTTCAGAGTGTTTTCTAACTAAGTAATAATCTGCTGGTCAGTACACGTATTGAGCACAACACTGCAGAGGCCCTTCAGCACAGGTCACAGCCCTCCTGCTACAGGCACACGTCTCAGCCTGACGCCGCCCCGGCCCGTCACTCAGCCTCCCACTCCTAGATGAGGGAGTGGAGGGTGCGGTCAGACGGGGAAAGGCCCATTTCCTTCCGGGTGCTGAAAGGACAGGGAATGCTGCACGGCAGCTCAGGTCTGTGCTGCAGAGCAGGCGGCTCCCCTGCCACAGGAAAGGAGCCCCCCGCTGTGAGTGCCAGGAGAGAAGTGCCTAAAAATGGAAAAAAGAACAGCCTTTGTCTCCAGCCCTGGCCGTGTGGCTCAGTGGACTGGGCGTTGTCCCGGGCACCCAAAGGCTGCTGGCTCGATTCCTGGTCAGGTTTTTGGGCTCGAACCCCTGTAGGCGTGTACAGGAGGCAGCCAATCGACCCAGGTTTTGCTCTCACATCAATGTTTCTCTCTCTCCCTCTCTCTGAAAATCATTTTAAAAACATCTTTAAAAAATAACAGTATCTGTCTCTCACACACAGGGATTTTCCTCGTCCTCAGGTGTGTTCCAATGCAGGACACCGACAGGGAAACGGAACACGCAATTGTGTTTGGTAGGAGGCTGAGCCAGCTGACTCGCAGTTTATAACCACGTGACGTAACAGAAGGGGTCACTTAAACCTTGCCTTTTCTTGCCGCCCCTCCCTGGCCTCACTTCAGGAGCATCCCCTTTGTCCTTTCCAAGCTGCAGGTGCCCAGGATCGCCTTGTTCCAGGAAATCGGGGTGTGGTCTCTGTTGGCTTTGCTTAGACGCAATGAGGTTTCCAATCAGAGTAAGCTGAGGGGTTCTGTACTATAGAAAGAGATAAAGCATATTAATGTACAATTACATATCTCAATTATGCAATATACTAATAAAATATTGGGAAAAACATTTGTTTAAATCAAACTAAGATGTGCAAGAGGTGAAACATGACAAAGATGACACGCTGATTTGGACGGGTAAGGTGAAGATCCTGATCTTAAAGAGTAAATGACAGTGGAGTGCTGAGAATTTCAACTGGGTTGCCCTATTCCAAAAGTTAAGCTACAGTCCTCATCTTCTTCTTTTCTGTATTAAAAATCTTCCTCTTTGCCGTAACCGGTTTGGCTCAGTGGATAGAGCATCGGCATGCAGACTGAAGGGTCCCAGGTTCGATTCTGGTCAAGGGCATGTACCTGGGTTGCGGGCACATCCCCAGTGGGGGGTGTGCAGGAGGCAGCTGATCGATGTTTCTCTCTCATCGATGTTTCTAACTCTCTATCCCTCTCCCTTTCTCTCTGTGGAAAATCAATAAAATATATATTTTTAAAAATCTTCCTCTTATAAATGAAATTACATGTCTAGCATTTGATTTTAAATTCTTCGAATAGGGAGGATGCACAAGCATGGAGAGTATGAATGAACAGACGAGCACACAGCAGCATGTGGATAACCACCAATGCTGAGGACATTATTCTCTCTAATAAAGAAGCCTTTAAATCCTTCTCAAAACGTCTACTTTCCTACCCTTTAAGCCTTTTTTTTCCTGTTCATAACATGTTCAGAAGAAAGGAAGGCATGGTAAGTACTTTTTCTAAGGAAATGACCATTTCTTCTCCTAGTACCATCTTCAAACCTTTGTTTAAATTCAATGTACTGGAGTGACATTGGTTAACAAAACTATACAGGCTTCAAGCGTACAATTCCGTAACGCATCATCTGTACATTGTAGCGTGTTCACCTCCCCAAGTCAAGTCTCCTTCCACCACCATTTATCCCCCTTTACCCTCGGCTACCGCCCCTTCCCCTTTTTCTCCTCTTCAAATCCTAAAAGTGCGCTAGAAAATGAATTTCTCAGTCACCATCCTAGGATGGTACTATGGACTTACAAAATGAGAACCTGACCAATTTGAATTTCATCAATAGAAGTTTTGGTGGCCTTATTAAGATTCAATCTTCTGTTTCAAGTACTTTAAGAAGACACCATTTTTTAATATGTGCAACTATTTATAGACCTGGGTCCATTTAACAAGCTTAACCTGTAACAGATTTGGAGGCAATCATATCACAACTGCTAGGAGCCTTGAACAACGCTCCCCCTTCTCTCTCTCTCTCTCTCTCTCTCTCTCTCTCTCTCTCTCTTTCTCTCTCTCTCCATACACATACACACACACACACACAAATATACTGGGCATTTTACTTTACTACTTATTTCTACTGAGAATAGAAGAAACGTGTGTGAAAGCATTCAGCAAATTCTGGTATTGATGTACAAGAAAGACCTAAACCTTTAAAATACCCAAATTATTCTGAACTGCACTTGAATGTGATTGTAACAGGAGCATTGTTCTTATGACGGAACCGTGTAAAGGCTCCTCCGGAGAGCGCAGTGGTTACGGTGTAAAGGACACAGGCTGCGCCGCTGCGTCCCCGGCCAGATAATTACCGCGTTTTCCTGCGACGGGCAGGCGCGGAGGAAGGAAAACCCTGGGTGCGTCCTCGCTCCCGCGGCGGCTCTGACAGGTGCGGAGGGAACCGCCACCGGAGCTCTTGAGACGGAGAAAAACGTAAAAGCAGGTTTGGGCTGCAGGTGCAGTAACGGGAATCCGAAGGCGTAACGAGGAGAGGACTCGAGGGGCCCCAGCTTAACGTCAAACACTCCTCCTGGCTTTGTAGCTGCCGAAGAGTCCTGCTGAGGTGTCACGCTTTCCTGTCCAACGTACTGGTCCAAGTTCAAGTGCTTCGGGATGTCTGTCCTGCCAGCCCCCGCCCCTGTCTTCTGCTCCACGGCTGGCTGCTGGGCGTCCGTATTCCGCTGGCTCCAGGTCCCAGGGGGCTCTGACGTGTGCATCGCTCTCGGGGGCGCAGGGGGCTGGCGGGAACTGGGGGGCCCCCAGGCCTCTCTGGGCGGCGGCAGACATCTGGGGGGAACCCACAGAGCCCTTTCTGCCGGGAAGGCAAAGGGCTTCAGCCCCTGCTCAGGCTGTAGCTGGAGCAGAGGAAAAGCATCGCCCGGTCTGAGCGCCGTGGCAGCGGGAAGCGTCGGTGCCTTCGGGAGGGCAGAAGGCGGGGACACGAGGTGGAGGGGAGCGTTCCCCGCAGGGCCCGGGGGACACGAAGCCGGCGGCAAGCTTTCAGGGGCTGCGGACAGTCCGCTGTTCCGAGGCTGGCCTTCTAATTGACAAGGAATACGCCCGTGTGGA